TGCTGCCATATAACAGCCACGATTCAAGCACTAAAAAATTATAGCTAAAAGTCCTTCGGCAACAACAATTTTAGAAGCATCAATCTGCTTACCATATGCCATATTGACATAAATCGCATCACATACTCGCATAAATTGACTTTGATATATTACATTCATGCATACACTTCACTTGTCCTTTACACTTTGGATGTAAATTTCTGCTGATAAAACTCAAAACAATGTTGGCTTTCTTTGAACATCAATGACTGAAATGTCGCTCGCAGATCGTCTTCGCCAAGCATTTACAATTTATCCATTTTTCACCCTCTTGAAAAATTCACAGTTTGGACATTCATGTCAAATATGAATTTGTAAAAGATTTCAATAAAATCCATCTGATTGTAGTTTAGTTTCTATCATGCTTATAAAATTGCTATGAAACGATCAAACATTCAATTCAGACAGTGAGCTTGACTATGTTAGTTCAGTTGGCTATCAGTCGAAATCAAACCAATCACAATAAAACAAAATTCAAATGAACCAATTGTAAGATAGCAATGAAGTATTTGCCGGTTGCCAGTCTCCTTAAATTTGCGCAAATTTGCTCATTATACTGAACTACCATTTTGCTTGCACCAAGTCAAATGGAAGAGAAATGGAGTGCAAACAATGACCATTAAGTCAGTACGTATATTTCCGATCGTATTGAAGTCACATTTTAACAGATGGAAAAATAATGCTACAAGTTAATGTTTCCTTGACACTTGTAAGAGTTTCTTAAAGAATCCTTTACGTGGAGAACTGTGTCTTTACATGATCGCCGATATTGCTTTTGCTCAAAGTCTTGGTAGTGTTTATGCCGATGAACTAAAATGGCGGGATAGCTGGTCATTTATCGTCACAAAACGTGGCCATCAATACTCAGAAAACATCATCACGCAGCAGACATATCGAACTGGGTGAGCCTGTCACTGCTCGTGCTACAGTTCCTCTTGTTCCTGCTAAACAATCTCAATGTGCTTGGGATGACAGTGAAGAATCAAAGCAAAAGAATGTTTTTTGATAAGTTTGAAGGCTATGGAAGTGTATGCAGTTGTAATATCTTTCGTTACATCCATGTAGGATTAGATTTCTTATTTAATTGAACGTACAGCGATGTGTTCAGTAATTTTGCCATTCATTGTGCATTAAAACTTCAGAGAATATTCTGAGAATACTCCATGGAAAAATTGTAGAAATAAGGATATCACTGTTATTGCAGCTAATGTTAGAACGATATGAAGAACTGACAGAATATGTTCTTAAATGTTGTTAATAATCCTGCTCCAATTGAAATTAAAACAACACCGTTGAAGTTAGAAAAGTTCAAGACATTCCTGTTGCTGTGATTGCTGTAACAGGCCACATTATCTTTATCGTGGCTTACGGTCAATGTTGTCAGCTCATGGAGCAAAGAAGGAGTTATTTACTGTATTTATTGATGGATTCTTTGAAGAACCAGCTGCTGTGGCAAGGCTATATGATGTAAAGTCGTACAGCATATTCCTATTAGCAGTAAGAACGCTAGAATATCACAGGTTGGTAAGGCTTTTTCTTTGAGAGTGTTTACACGATGTAATCAAAATTTTTCGTTCCTTTTATTACTTTTTATGTATTTTCTCTTCCTCCCAGCATTACAAGCGAACATTGACAGAGACGTTTAATGCTTATCCCAATGCTCGGTATATGATTAATGATTATTTTGGAAGAAGATTTAGACATATCTGTGGACATATTTAGTTATTTTAATCAATTTTGGCCTTTAATGGATACAGATGAAAGTCTGTACTGTATATCGCGTGGAATGATCAGGTTTGTTATAAACAAAGCTAACAACATTCTTTTCATTTAGTCTTTTACTCTATTGTTGGCTTGTGTTTGCTACACAACAAAATTTTAATTTGTTTTCAACTTTATTAACGTGGTTTTGAACGTCTCTGTTTCTTTTGCTTTTTGTCGAGTCCAGTTTATCTCTGACGAGAGTGCAGAATGTAAATTAAATAAATCTCAAATATTTTTCACATTATAATGGAAAATGGAAATCTCCACAAGAATCTGTTATCTTATTGTAGTTTTCATTGGTTACATTATGTTTGTCTTTATCGAGCTTCCTTCCTTGCACATCACAAAGTGAAATTTAGGAAATTTACCTTAGAAATGGTACATCCATTGAAAAACTAATTTATGTGATTAATGATTTAATTGCAAAACAAGTATTTCTATTTTTAGGGTTATGATCACGTGTAATGATCCTGCAATGTTATATCGTAGAAACAATGCCTGGTTTAGGCTGGTGAGAATTTTATTACTACAAATGATTTTGTTTACGCTATGACATCACGCAACAGTGACGTCATGCTACAATGCATCACACTACAAGCACATCCTGCAATGACATTACAATGACCTCACGCTGCAAGACATCAGGCGCAATGACATCACGCAGCACTATAAATGTATAGATAGTATAAACTTCATTCTATCTATTATTTCTCTTTACATTAACAGGTTGCTCAAACGACGACTTTATAAAGAAGAACTTGATTAAATGGCCAACCCTGATCTCTTTTGGGATTGGGATATGTGGATGAGGATGGACAGCAACAAAAGGACGTGAATGTATCATTCCGGATATCTCAAGAACCTACCATTTTGGCCAGGCCTGAATATGAATGTATTTTTCAAGAATCCTATTTCAAAAAACATACGTTGAATACTGAACCTAACGTTAAGTTTAATGTTGGATTGAAAAAAGAAAATTATAAGGAGATTGAACGGCTTGTAGGGTATGTCTTGCAGGATTTTATAAAATAACAATATTTTCTTTTAGGACAATGAAGGAGATTTCTACTTAGTGATTCAGTGATCTAATTATCATCATAGTGCGTATATTTATGTCATTTGATTGTTAGAGATGTCTATCTACTGTTTTTACAGGTTGGCAGAGCCGTTTGATCACATCAAAAATCCTTGCAAGAACGAGAAAGACTTTGTTCCAGAAACATCTGATAAAACATATATATTTTATATTGAAATGAAACATGCTAACGACTGGACAACATGGAATAATATAGCGAGATGTTTACGAATCTGGGACTTAGATGCTCGAGGATTTCATAAAAGCATGTGGAGATTATGGTTAAAGGGTAATCACGTGTTAATTGTTGGATCACCGGCTTCACCTTACGCCAAACATAAACCAATTAACGTAAAACCTATTTTCATTCCTAAAAAATCGGAGACTGCGTGATCATCTTTGATTAGAGATATCATTCGTTTATCATGCGGCATTTAAGCTAAATGAATGTGGAAATCTTGAAGTTTAAAAAACTTTAATGTAAATGTGATTGGATAAATTTTCATCATGGTTTGATCAAGGAAATGAACTCGTTGAACAAGGAATATAAGAGGAAAAAGATAACTTTCAATTTGTTCAGTTTTACTGTTAATAATGTAATTTTAAGGATTACAACCACGGAAAAGAAACAATCGCGCTTTTCCCACAAAACATTTACCGCATTTGAAAGTCCTGCTATCGTTACATCGCTAAAGATAATTATTTGAAAACGAACTTACCTCTCATTCTTTCCCTTTGTCCCATCCTATTAGGATTGCTAAAATGAATCACTTGCTACCATTTAGTTCTGTCAATAAAATTCTCTCGTTAAATTATTACATTACATTTTACAATGGCAAGTCATATTATTGCAATAAGCAGGGCTCCAATGTTCATAATAAGTATTGAGCACGACAAAAGCTTTTCTATAACATGTGGGTGATTCCCACGTGAATAAATTACAAGCTTTTGATATGCCTTCTAATTTATTTGTTGACGTAACAAGTTGAATAAAGGTGGTCAGGTGGGAGAAAATGATAACTCTCCAAGCTATGGTGCATTGAATTGCGGTTTTGGGTGAGATAATTTTTTGTTCATACTAGATAAAATTTACCACAACACGACATGCTCTGTCTGCCGTCATAACCTTACAATCATTGATTTCGCAAACTCTTCATTGAGGAAACAAAAGAAATATTCTTTTGTTTTCTCCAAACCTCTGGGGAAAAGGCTTTGCTTTCTTTTACTAACCAATGTCGTTAGTTAACTTATAACCAGGCTTAATTCCTTTTGTCTTTGCCCTGCATATATTTTCATGCAATCAATGAATTTAATCCCTTTTTATCATGGTTTGAACAAAATTGACGAATGAATTAATAATTAATTCATGTGATATATGAAAGTTATCAGAAGAAAAGTAGGGTCTTTCACTTCGATAACCCTATTTGACCGAGCTGTTCGTCTGGGAAAGGTGAAAGTCTGTTGAAAGTCGAAGACAGCCTTCAAGAAATGCGACTACTTGTTGGAAAGGACGAGCAACTGAAGACATGACACGGTTGAGATATTTTAGCCATGTTTGAAAGCGGCAGGTTAAATACAGAAAAATCGTCGATGACATAAAGATGTAAGTTTGAGATCGATGAATTAAAATGTATAACCCAATTGTGATGTGAATTCTCGTTACAGCATATTCAAAGCATCGTTATGAGTCCTATTTGTTCGAAGGAATGATCGATTTCTTTGGTTTCTTAGTATTTCTATGTTTCGATCTTGGAGCACAAAAATGCCGTCAAGTTTCAGTTACATATTGAAGTGAGAACACGAACGAAACTGCCAAAAGTTTCCCACTATTCTTGACATCAATTATTGGACCTCTTCAATACATGTCCAGAAAATATTTTCATTTTTGCATTCATCGTTATCATTCACATAAGTGTGATGATTTTGCATTTTGCCTATTTCTAACAACTGGCCATTGTTAGAAATAGCAAGTTCAATCCTTTTGTCTTTGTGACAAAAGGATATAATATTTTATGTCTCCCGAGCAGGGCCGGATTAAGATGTGTGGAGGCTCTGAGCAGCAAAAATACGTAGTAAAGATCCCCTTTCCCTTACTCTAAACGCAATGTGCTGCTCATTTTTCAACAGTAAAATTTACTTTCAAATTTCGTAAAGCATTTGATAAAAGTATAAACTTCGAATATAGCGTGTAAAGCGGTTGCATACGACGAGTGAATGCTGCTACTTGAGATAAAGTAGTTATTGCGATTTTATTCTGGCAGTCTTTGATAAGCTCTTCCAAGTTTATTTCTGTTAGAATATTGTCCTCAATGCTCATCAGAGCAAAATGGCTGAGTTTACTGTGATTCGTTGTCATACGTGGTCTGTTCTTCATCACCTGAAATTGATCCAACAAATAAACTAAATGCTTTTCCTTCGTCTTTAAAGCAACTATGTTTATTCTTCCTTTGAATAATGTGAAGGCCCTTGTTTGTGGAGGCTTCTAGACAGCTTCCTTTGGTTAATCCGTCCCTGCTCCTGAGAGGAACTACTGTAGCATCAAGTGATGTTATAGTAGGTGAGATAAAAGTGGGTAATTCACTTGAGAAACGTTCAAATGAATTACCTCAAATATATATTATAGAGTATACAAGATATTGCAACATGGGGCAAAATGTTGCTCAATCTTCAAATGCGATGATGTTTTATAAACCTTCGTACCTTACCGTAATAATTAAACAACCTTTTCAATGAAATCGAGCAGAGAATATATTGCATGAGACATTCGTTAATTATCTTGTTTTTATCTAGGTATTTTTGAATTATATCGCATGTAATAAATCGTTTGACAATGTTACAGAACACTGCATGTGTTATAACATTGAGGGGGTGTTACAGCACAATGCACGGTTGAAACGATAAGCTTTCCGCGAGTCTTATAATCTTCAAAGAGTTGTTCACTTAACATACATGTTCAGTCATGTACAGTGTCGAGCGTACGGACAGTGAAAGAACGCGAACTCCGGCAGTGGTATGTGCTAAACAATTGTTTGTTTCCATTAAACAAATAACTCCTTCTTCAGTCTTTTTTTTAGGTACAAGAGATGAAGATCAGGAAGGAGATAGAGGAGTACGTTATTATTTTTCCTGTCCTTATCTTAACTTGTTTTAGATTTTCGTTTAGATGAGGAGGAGGCTGATGAAAAGTAGAGGAGGATGCTGACGGAGAGACAAGAAGGATGCAGATGAAGAGACGAGGATGCAGATGAAGAGAAAGGAGGATGCAGATAAGAGACAGATGGAGGAGAAGGGGATGCAATGGGAAATGGATCAAATGATCGGATCGGATGCGCGTCAGCGGATCCGATCGGATCGATCAGATCGTCGCGTCAAATCAGCGTCAAGATCAAATGAGCAGATCAGCATGAAGAGATCGTCGGCGTCGAATCGTCGCGTCGCGTCGTCAGCGTCGCGTCATAAAGAAAGAATCGATGGAAAAAAGAGAAGGAAGATCAGATGGACGGAAAAGATCGATGGAAAAGGATCAGATGAAAGAAGGATGCAGATGGAAAGAAGAGGAGGATGCAGATGGAAAGAGAGGAGGATGCAGATGGAAAGACGAGGAGGATGCAGATGGAAAGACAAAGGATGCAGATAAAAGACGAAGATGCAGATGGACGAGAAGGATGCACATGAAGAAGACGAGAAGGATGCACATAAAACGAAGGATGGAAAGACGAATTCAATCAATTACAGAATTGTATATTGTAATATATAATTGGTAAAGATAATTCATTTGATATTGCAACATGCGGGCAGAGTGTTGCAAAATCTTTATAAACCTTAGTGCCTTACCGAAATAATTAAACAACCTTTTGGATGAAATCGAAAAGAGTTGAGCAGAGAATATATTGCATGAGACATTCGTTAATTATCTTGTTTTTATCTAGGTATTTTTGAATTATATCGCATGTAATAAATCGTTTGACAATGTTACAGAACACTGCATGTGTTATAACATTGAGGGTGTTATAACACAATGCACGGTTCAAACGATAAGCTTTCCGCGAGTCTTATAATCTTCAAAGAGTTGTTCACTTAACATACATGTTCAATCATGTACAGTCATGGATATAAATGTTTTAGCATGATAAAACTATTACAATGCGAAAGCACGATCTCCATAATCACTTGCCATGATATTGTTGTTGCATTTTATAGACATGTCGAGCGTACGGACAGTGAAAGAACGCGAACTCTGGCAGTGGTGGGTGCTTACAATTGTTTGTTTCCATCAAACAAATAACTTCTTCTTCAGTCTTTTTAGGTACAAGAGATGAAGATCAAGAAGAAGATAGAGGAGTACGTTATTATTTTTCCTGTCCTAATCTTAACTTGTTTTAGATTTTCGTTTAGATGAGGAGGAGGCTGATGAAAAGAAGAGGATGCTGACGGAGAGACGAGGAAGATGCTGACGGAGCTACGAGGAGGATGCTGATGGTGCTACGAAGAGGATGCTGATGGTCCTGCGAGGAGGATGCTGATGGTCCTGCGAGGAGGATGCTGATGGTCCTGCGAGGAGGATGCTGATGGTCCTACGAGGAGGATGCTGATGGCGCTACGAGGAGGATGCTGATGGCGCTACGAGGAGGATGCTGATGGTGCTACGAGGAGGATGCTGATGGTGCTACGAGGAGGATGCTGATGGTGCTACGAGGAGGATGCTGATGGCGTTACGAGGTGGATGCTGATGTAGCAACGAAGAGGATGCTGATGGAGCGACGAAGAGGATGCTGATGGAGCGACGAAGAGGATGCTGACGGAGAGACGGGAAGCATGCTGATGGAGAACAAGATGAGGTATAAAAATTTTTTTATTTGTTTCACTGACTTGTAGCTTAGTGACTTCAGTCTTTTCAGGTTTATGTGTTTGTTTTTATTGTATCGCTAATTTGTTCTTTGGCTATCTTTTAGATTTTTAAGAAATCTTGGATTTTGAGAGAGCATATATACTCTGTTGAATTCGGCGTATTCTTACTAAGTCAGAGAGTTCCCTCGCTCTCTGACTTAGAAAACGAATTTTGTGGTAAAGTATTTCAAAGTAGGCTCCTGCCACCTATTTTGGAATAATGTTGTACAAATTTCTATTAAGTAATGATTTTAGAATAATAAAGTTGTTTGAAAAGCATTTATGCCGTGATGAATAAATAACATCCATCGGTAGTTTTGAAACGACTGTCAGCTTAAAATATGCATATGTATTTAAATTAAACATGGTCACCATGCCAGCAAGTGTCAGCGTTTGATAAATGTTTTCGAAATACGCTTTTCAATGCAATATGGAAATTTGTCATCATAACGTGCACAAAATCGCTGTTTCGTAATAATATATACGCAATTTTAACAAATATTTAATGATGTTTGGGGCTGTTTTCATTCAACCGTAGCTATAGTGTGTTTTCTTTTGACGTCATATAAGCCATGTTGGGAGAGTACATGAGAGTGTCGAAGCTCAGCAAAGCATAAAATTAGCAGAAATTCTTTTCACTGTATGGAATTTTGCCCCAACATGGTAACTGATGAAAACAATTTAGAGGAAGAAATCATTAAGGTGTAAAATGATTTTTCATCAGCTGGCAATCCATTTGGGACTTTTCACAGTATTTTTAATTCACGAAAATTTACATAAAACGTACAAAATGACATACCTCGCAACAAGTATAAAACATGTGAAAATTGATCATCAAATTTACTGGCATTTCCCCAGTATAGTAGCGGCATCTTCTTTCGTGTTTAGAGATTATTTTACACCTCAATGTTTTCTACTCTCATGTCCTTAGACCCAAAAAAAAATTTACATCTGTAATGTAATGTATGATAAACTTAAGAATAAATTTAAGAGAAAGGAACTTCTCAAACGACTTCAAGTAATATGTAAGTTTTAGCAAGTAAAATGTTCGTACAATAAATTATAAAAAACAATCTCCAAACATTGTTTAAGATTTTTAGACATTAAGCTGGCTTGAAGACCACTGTTTTTTGCAAAAAATTCGGCAATTTCGAAGTGATGTATTTCGCCTCCGTACCTTCAATGGCGGCGCTCGTGCAGGCTTCAAAGATGGCGTCCAAGTTAGCCTTCCAGTTGTTGTAGAGTTCAATGGGTTTAAATAAGGTCGAGATCATTGAGCTCTATAGTTAGAATTGAAAAAAATTGACTGTGCCTTTGCAAATATGTGATTCAACTGCAATGATGCACATCGTGCACCAAAAATGTAAAGTCACCATTTAATTGAAGAGCTTGTAGGTAGGAGATACAACAACTAATGGTCAAGCTTTATGTAAAAACCGGATACAATATCTTTATGATTCGTAAAATACCTGCTTAAAAAGGGCGTACATCTTTAACTTCAATTCATTCCCTGGATCTTGAATTAAAGATCCTACTTTGTCTTTTGCTTCTTTAAACTGGTGGGAGATTGCAGGGAACTTTCGAACCATCTTCGTAAAAATGTTCAGGTTTAAATAAGGTCGAGATAGATAGTTCACTATACCACGACGAAAAATTGCATGTAATTTACAAACTCTTGGCGTCACGTTCATTTGCTATAATAAAATTTACAATAAATATTTTTTTATTATTGATTGAACTATGGACGAATAAGAAAATTCATATCTAGAAATGACATGAATGAAAGGCAAAAGTAAATAAAAATGTGACTATTTTGACCAATGACATTAGGATGTTGATAGTGGTTACAATGGATGATAGTGGATAATTATAGACATGCTTTCAAAATGGCGTATGCTGAACAATTTTATTTTCAGTCAACTTGGAGCACACTTAATCATTTTATGGCAAGAATAGGTAAGTGTTGGCTCAACTGTATAAAATAAGGCGTTCAAGGATGCAATTCGGAAGCGTAAAAAAAGACTTGAGGCATATGCAAGAGAACTATCTTCACGTAGCAGACTGACATTTGTGGTGAATTCACTGAATTGCTCTGGAAGCTAACAGTTATTGGTTGTTATTCTGGCTATGTGAAACCAATCTATCTGCATGAGTTCTATCATGATTTTAAACAGCAAATCGATGCGTTGCGTATGAGTTGTATCGACCAGCTTACTACACAGTCAACACTTCACCAATTTGGAATTTGAAACATTTTGGTGATAAGAATTTTATACCGACGTATCCCTGCGATAAAAAGACTCACAAGAAAAACTGTTTTGTTCAGAGTAAGGTAAAAATATTTTACTCTCTGATTGCCTAAATATTCTTTGAGTATTTAAAACTGGCTCATATAAGACCATACATGTATGTAGTTAATGGGATCTACATTTTAGCTAGCGTGTGCAATATTTTTATAAGTAAAACGATGCACGGTAGTGAGGTAACTTAGTGATTAAATGTACTTGAAAGCCGAGGGAGATTTTGTAGTAAAAGTCACAAGACTTGTAGCACCGAGGGACTTTAGCTAACCTGCCAGGGCTTTCAAGTGCATTTGATTGCCAAAATGTTTTAGTCAGTGCTACACACTGTTTATAAATTTGGATCTGCAGCTATTATTACCTAAGTGAAGATCTATTGATTGTCATGCTTTATTTTATCTCCATGTTTTTTTTATATTTTCACCATCATATGGGGGATGAAGCTTTCTATGTTTACAGATGTATACCATTGTGAATTTATAATTTCATTGCTATCACAATTTATAGATTAATATAAAAATTTTTGATGCTATGAGATGGTCTCATCAATGTGCAACAATTGAACTGGATTTCCAACTTCCTGAGAGATTCAACCTCACGCTAGGTAAGTTTTGCCAGTAAGCTTTTCGTTGAATAACCTCACTACGGTCTTGATACTTAATTTATTCAACCAACAGTGACATCACAATAGCTCGATGAATAATACATCCTGTTATTATTCATCGAGCTATTGTAGGTTCAGTTGAAAAAATGATTGCTATTCTTGCTGAAAGCTTTGGTGGAAAATGGTGAGTGTTTTCTTGGCTCATGCCAGAGCTTAAAGCAAATGAAATGTCCTTAAATGTTAAATTAAAATGATACAAAGTTTCTTAATTGTTTGGAAATTTTTTATCATTTTTACTCTACTTTACTTTATTTCAAAATTTTGACGCACTGCATTTTCTGTTATTTTCTAGGATTTTATGGCTTTCTCCCCATCAAGTTGTAGTAATTCCTGTCAGTAGTAAATATGATGATTATGCCGAACCGGTAAATTTAATTTGGTAAGCCTTAGATCGAACTTGCACAGGCTAATGCAAACTCAGCTATGGACAAATTGTTGCTATTTTATGAATTGGAATTTTTGTCCTTTTTTATTGACATTTTGGTCATGTTTAGATTCAAAAGAAGTTCCATGCAGCTGGTTATCGTGTTGATACAGACTTGGATCACGGATCAACACTAAATAAGAAAGTTCGCAATGCACAACTTTCACAGTACAACTTCATTCTTGGTATGAATAAGTCTTTTAAATTATTTTTATTTACTGTACAAATAAATAGAAATTAAAATGGTTTGGAACCACTGTTGGTGTTCAGAGTTTACTGACGTTTCCACAACATTAGTCAGGTTCGCCGTATTTGTTCTCTAGACGTCATGACAGAGAGGAAAATATGTGGATGTTTTAGTTTGTGTGGTATACTTATTAATTGTTCGCTTGTAAGCCGTTTATAAGGTGCTGATATTTGTATTCTGTTCAATGATTTTTGTTTTGAGTTTGTTAACCTACTTTCTAACGTAAGTCGTTGTCTATAGTCAGTGCTGTTTGTAATGTTGTGCATTGTGATGCTCACTTGTCAGTACTCGTTGTTCTTGGTAGTCAGTTGATGTGCGAGTTGTAAAATGTAAGGTATTATCGTTTGCTGTTGTTGGATTGTTTGTTGTTTGTGTTTTGTTTGTTTGTTTTGTGTTCATTGTCTTTTTAAGTGTTGTCTATTTTAAAAGCAAAATAGATGTTCATTTTATTACTAAATGCGATTGGTTAAATGGTTTTATGTTGTTTTTTAAACAGTTGTTGGTGAAAAAGAGACGGTCTCAGACACGGTCAACGTCAGAACACGTGACAACAAAGTACTCGGTGAAAAATCGGTCATGGCCGTGATCGAACGCTTGCGAGATTTAGTCATCTCACGAAGTCTGACAAGCGAAGATTTTTGAAGTAAAACAACATTTTTATGGTAAAGATAAAATGAATTTACTCACAAAAATAAATTTGAATGTAAATCCCATGATGCGTCGCAATTATAGAAAAATAGGTACGCGTACATGCCACTGGTCACTGGCAAACTGGCGGCATTGGTCACTAATACTTTATCAGTGGTGGTAATATTGATTTTATCGTGGTGGTAAATTCTTCCATTGGTAATTTATGGCGATAACCATCAGCAACTTTTCAACTTTTTACCATCAAGTTTTCACTCAAACGAGATCGCTTCTCTTTCATATTTTGGCTTGTTTCTTGAGCTAGTAGGAGGCTGTGTGCGTTGATACAAGAAAAACTTTGTTGTGCAGAGGAAGGTAAAGATATTTTACTCGCAGAATTACTATATATTTATCAACAAAGTAGTTCATACTACAGCGATGAAAAATATAAAGCGTCGTATTTAACGCAAACCTTGGTTAAACCAGGGTTAGTTGACACATGTGCACTTGTATAATATGTCCAAATGGACATGTTTTGTGGAATTCCCCTTCATTTGGTAAAATATTATCGCAGTGGGCCAAGATCGTCCCTCGTTTTGACAGTCATTTGCTATTCGTACTGGAGCTCTAGAATTTTACTGTTTTTAGTGGTAAATGTGACCAATTCCTCATTCGTTTTCTTGTTATTGTGTGATGCTTAACATAGCAAAACAAAGAGTAGCTATATAAATGTAATTTTCCTGCCACACTTACAAACATTTCATATGTCAGCTGCAAGACCCGTAACAGACTGTGACAAATTTTTGTTTGGTGAAAAAATTAACATATCTTGTCGAGTCTCCATTTGTGAATATCCATTTGAGAAATGCTTGCAAGAATATGGGCTACAAGATTACAAGAATAGAATGCGGATTTGAAACGAAAGATTAGAATGCACATTGAACTCCAAAAACAATAGGAAGTAGGCTTTATAATGTGACTACAATTGACTACAGTTCATACATTGGTTCAATGGTTAGGGTATGGATTAGGTCAGGGTTAGATTATGGTTAGTGTAAGTGTTAAGGTTAGGGTTAGAATTGTTTAAAAGTTTCTTATAAACGTAGAATTAGTCAAACTCATCAACACTTTGTTATGCCCCTCGTAATATCCGTGACAATGTTAAAGATGTTTTATTTCTCTTCATAACTTTGTGTCTGCATATTTTCTACATAAACAAACTGCTTTAATATTTATGACAGATATTATAATTCGTAGATCGAGGTAGAAGAACTGCTTGAAAATGAAACTTCCAACATTGAAACAAAATCAAGCATGGCAGAAGAGAAACAACGACGCCAGGTTGAAGATAGCTTGATGAAATTGAACGTAGTTGAAGCACCTAGCATACGCTCGAGAGTTTTGGATGAGGACTCGTCAACCACTGAAAACATGAATGAGTCAAGCATGTTTACGACGATAAAGGCTCTTGCGAGGTAGGCTGTTGCGACATATCGAATTATCGATAAATATCGGGGTTTTAAATATCGGTTTATCGATATTGGTTTTCGGTATATCGATATATCGATGTACCGAAAATATCGAAAAATATGAAAATATTCGTTGTTACGATATATATATAGTTATTATACATAGTTTTAATTGTGTTTTGTTGGTTTTAATAGCTTTATAGCGGTTTTAAATGGTTCTGTATACAATGTATTAGACAGACAATCTTGACCCAATCACACGTGCGGGGTAATTGTCGGCTAAGGTTCAATTTGATCTATTTATGAATCATTGCGAACAACACTACAAAAAAACCCCCAAAATATCCGAAAATATATCGTCATATCTATATTTTTTCGAAGCGGGATTTATCGAGCACAAAAGCGACGACACTTATCAATGGTGAAGGATTGTCCCTGTATGAAATATCTAAGTTATAAGATTCGGCTATGAAATGCACACTAAACGGCAAAATATGACGGAAAGTGGGTTTAGGAGGAAGGTATGCGAAATATGTTCTATCGTATGCCAGCAAAAACAATGTAAATTTCTTGAAACAACGAAAATATAAAAATTCAATCTCTGCCACGAATATTTGTTAATTTGTGCAAAATTGCCATTTGACCATAGCTGGTGTATGGTAATTTCCTCAGTAAATATTAAACTCATGTAAATTTTTCTCCCATGACCACCTCTAAAATGAACTTTCGAAACACCATAAACACTACAGAATTGTTTGAAGATTGTTTTGGTGTCTGCTTATGAGAGGTTGTAAATAAGTTAATAGTAAGAGTATTGGCAGGGACCTAATAGCAGTGTCTGCTTTCGGGAGGTGTCCGTTAGTAGTAAAGTTCTGACTGATTTTGCTTATAGTTTCGTCTATAAAGTTTCTATAGGGTAACTAGTTTTATAAATGAGAACAAGTAGTTGCGTTCTGTTTTTTGGCTTCTTCTGTGCTGCAGTGAGTGTTAATTCTGTTGAAAAGTGTTCGAATGTTGCTTATTTTGTGTTGTGTGGAATGATTACGGTTGAAATCAAGTATTTGGT